GCACTCACACGCGCCGGGCGTTAGTTTTAAGCCACCGGGTCTGGGACACGAGCCGCGGTCGACTACGAGGGAGTCCAGCGACATAGCCATTACGCTAACTGCTGGTTCCCCCATCCAAGAACTTTTTAAAGACACCTCATATTGTTATAGTTGTTCTATTTTACTAATTATTGTCATTAATCTCTCTGTACCCAATACGTAAGTTACGCTTTATTTTATAGGTGTGTGCGTAGAGGTAAGCGCATATATGTAGGATTTGATACTATGCATAGGTTTAGGCATTTACTAGGGGTTTGGAACATACCTTCCATGGACAGGCTCTTTTTTCACTTGGTTGTTTCCTTTGCTGTGCAAAAGCTTTTTAGTTTGATGTCCTTCTACCTGTCCACTTTTGTCTTTGTCACCTGTGTTCTTGGTGTCCTATCCAAAGAATTCTTGCCCAATGCAAAGGAATTGTTTTCATTTAGTCACTTTATGGTTTCAGTCTTTTATCCATTCAGTTTGTTTTGCAAGATTAAAAAAAATCCAGAAATAGACTGTGGTAATGACTGTACGGTGGTTAAAATGATTTTACATTATTGTCTATCTTATCACAATCTTTTAGAAAGGACAAATATAGGGAGACCAGCTGATGGTGTAATGGTTACATTGCTGGATTTCCACACGGTCGACCATGGTTTGAGTCCCAGACCTGGCAGCTTAAACTCACACCAGACGCATGTGCATGCGTGCATTCCCAAAGTCCTGAGAGGAGAATGGAGGAGAAGGAACTGTGGTATGGCCACCACCCTTGGGGGGTGATTTCTCACTTTCTCTTTGTCTCTCTCTGGTGAGCACATGCGCCCTATAGCAAAAATCTCTTAAAAGAACAAAAACAAGACAAATACTTAAGACTGATATTAAAATTTGACTTATGTTGTCCAGCCTGCTTAATACTTACTGTCTTTTCCAAATCCTACTCAGTTTTCAAAATTTAGTGGTAATTCCTCCCAAACATCTAATTCCAACATAATGTCACTTCATTTATTTTTGAGAGATTTTTGCCATAGGGTGCATGCACTGGGTGGACAGAGGGAGAGAAAGCAAGAAATCACCCCACAGGGAGATGGCCACCCCCTTCTCCTTTTGGGATTTTGGGCACACACATCCAGCATGAGTTTCCAGCCACCAGGTCCATGGCTTGAACCATGGTCGACCACATGGGAGTCCAGCACCTGAACCACTAAACCACATGCTGGCCCCCCTCACTTTATCTTCTAGACTCCAAGAACTACTACTGTCTGAGTTTATATGGTAATTAATGATGTTCTGCCTGGTGATAGTTCTTCCACTGTTGCCTTGAAGATTAATTTAAACATTTGCATTTGGACCAGCTAACATGGTGTGGTTGTCAGTGCAACTATATCCCACATAACTGACAGCATGGTTCTTCAAGTCACAGGCTCAGTGGTTTGAGAAACACACTGGGCACATGTGCATGTGCCCAAAATCTTCAAAAGGAGGGAGAAATGGAGAACAGACTGTGGCATGACCATTCCCTATGGTGGGGGGGTCACTTTTCTCTGGCAAGCATACATGCTCTCTGGCAAATTTTAAAAAACATATTTATGGGGCCAGCAGGTGGCATAGTGGTTAAGGTGCTGGACTCCCACATGACTGGCTGCAGTTCATCCCAGACCCTGTGACTTGAAACTCACCCAAGTGTGCATGCAGGCATGCTCAAAACCCTGAGAGGAAAATGGAGATGGAACTGCAGTGTGGCCATCTCTCCTGGGGACGATTTTTCACTTCCTCTGTCTCTTGGGCAAGCACACACACCCTATAGCAAAAATATCTCTAAAATAATTTATTTATATACATATATAAATAAATTATATATATATCGACTCCTGTTTGGTCATCAGAAAAGTAATGGTATATTTTCTGTTTTTCTATGGAAAAATGTGTCATGACTTTTTGACGACCAATATAATAGAATCTTATTTGAGTGAAGTGTCAGAATCATATTCTTAGTGTCAGTCAAGAGGACAGGTTCATGACTGACTCCATGGCTCTTGGCCCCATGGTCTAGTGGCTATGGGAGCTGGGTCCCACATGGCTACTAACCTTGATTTGAGTCTTGGCTCTGGTGGCTTGAAAAACACATAAGGCATGAGTACATGCATGCCCCACATCCACACATTTCGTTTTGTTTGAGAAAAGAAGGAAGGTCTATGGTTTGACCATGCCTGACTTGGGGTGCTTTCTCTGAATTTCAAACAAGCACATGCACCCTCAGGCAATTTAAAAAAAAAAAAAAAAGACAGGCTCTAGAGCCTATGCTTGGGTTTGATTAATGAAGTATTTTTCAATAGTCTATTTTTATCTTATTGTACTGCTTCCTTTGAGGTCCTTCAGATTGACAAGGATCCAAACACTTGCTGTGGCTCTGGTTTGCCGTTAAGGACAAGGATCCTTGTATGGGCACAGGATTATGCCCACTAGGGTAATCAGCCCACACGAGCTTGTAGGAAGCATCTCACTGTACACTGGACCAGAAAAGGTGAGATGAGATCCTTGTGCTCATGCCCATGCCACCTCTCATTCCCCACTCAGGTGGCATCACAATTATACCTGTCCCCATCTTCATCAGCCTGGGTGATCATAGAGGGGACCAAAGAAAACAGTTTACCTTCTGGCTTCCTGAGAAGTTGCCTTTATTTACATGCAGTCCCTCCTCTGCAGGGAATCCTATGGAAGGGTCAGGATGAGACAGACCCTGCAAAACTCAGAGCAATCAGCTCCAGTTCCCAGACCACGAGCAACCATCTTCCTTTGTCCATCCTCTGGAGATGTACTTTATGGAAAGGCTGGACCAGACTGCTTCTCCTTAGAGCCACAATAACTCTTCTGCATGCCTACTTGACCATTCCCCACCACCACATTAGGCACAGAGAAAAAGAGGAAAAAGGGGGTGAGGCGTAGCTAATTCTTCTTTGAAGACATGCTAGAAGAGGATAGGTTGGATGTGGTGGCTTATATTGTTAGAAAAGTTTCTTTGGAAGATTGAGCCATGGGAGTTTCCTGAGTTTGTTTTTCAGGATGATGCACCACTACAGAAGGCATTGCTGGTGCATCTGCCTCCTTCAAGGTGGGCGAGGTCATTTGGGGGAGGGCAACTTTGGTAGTTTCTGCAGTGGGTGCTTGGGTGTGTTCCAAGGTCTGGGTGGGCACTGTTGGTTTAACATCATGCTTGGTAGCCATCAGTGGTGTGACAGTCTTCTGGACATGGTTTGGTGACTTCATGGAGGCTACCACAAAATGGGAGGTGCCTTCGTGTTTCTTTCCACCCTTGGCTAAAGCTGGGTGGAGGGCTGCTAGAGTCCAAGGTCTCTCTGCAGTTCTGCCAGGATTTACGGATAAGCCCACAGTCTCATGACTCTCACCTTCTTCCTCTGGAAGGCTTATACTCTCACAATCTGTGGGATAGAAAGATACAAACGAAGATTCCGCAAATGTTACTTGCCTAATCCCTTCCAGCCAAATGTGAAATCCAATTTCTCTCTCAAATGTTACCCCCTCACTACCCTCTCAGGTTCTTTCCTCCAAGATCACCTGTCTACCTCAGACTTTGTGCACATTTTATTATCTCAAATTTAGCCAGGGGCCTATTATGTGAGGTGCTAGCTCATTGTGGAAGGCTTCAGAAGGCAGAAACTGGTATTTGCATGCACTTTGATTTAAATAGAGAAAATGACTCATCCTCAGTTATAGTAAAAGCTTTTTATGGGCAAGATTTTGTCTTTCTTTCTGTTATATACAAAGTGCTCAAAAATGTCAGATTGTAAGTCCTCAATAAAATAATTTTTGTCTGAATGACAGAAAAAGAACAGGTAGTAGTAATTTCTTCTAGTAATGAAGCTAGGAAGTTGAGATCAATTCTCTTACCAAAGGCAAACTAAAACCTGGATGATAAATAAAAACATGAAAACATCTTAAAATTAAGATAGGAGTTAATAATACGGTAAGGAACTATGGTGCCAAACTTGAGAAGTGAGAAGACAATTTCAAAGAAATAGTTCAGAACTCAGTGTTATCTTTGCCCTGACTATAATTCAATCTGAAAGAAACAGTTGGATTCGTAAGCATCATTTTTTGGTCAGACTTAGATTTTTTTTTTTAATAAGGTTTTCTCATAGAGTGAACTGGAGATACAGACAGAGTGGGAAAGTGATAAATCACACCCTCCCCACACCTGGGGAGTGGGGTGTGGGCCAAGTTGCAATTCCTTCTTCATTCTCCTCTCAGGATTTTGGGCATGCACACACATGCTCCCAGTGTGATTTTCAAACTGTTGGGTATAGGACTTGAACCACGGTTAGCTATGTAGAAGTTCAGCACTCTAACCACTATGCCACCTGCTAACTCCTTGAAGTTTAATGTTTTATTGAACTTGAATTTGTAAATCAATTCCATGACAATATCTTTTTGATTAGTTTTCTAATTCATAAACATGACATATTGCTCCTTTGTTTTTATTCCTCTCAGTAAAGTTGTGTAGTTTTTGGTGACCATGATATATCTTCTTTTTTGAAGACTTTTTAGATTAGATTAGACTATATTAGACTAAAGTCTATTTGGTCTGATATTAGAGAGGCAATGACTGCTGGCTGGCGGTCAACATGGTGTCAGCAGGTGCAGATGTACACGCTTGTCCGAGAGGCGGCTGGGGTGCCACATGAGGCCGTGTGTGTGTGCAGTGGGCAAGGCCCCATCCTCCCCAATCTAATGGACCTGGACTGGGGTTTTGGCTGAGGTCCTGGCCTCATCCAATCTTCCTTATTCCACCTCTGTTTCCAAACTTGGTCTTACACCTTCCAGGTGTATCTTGGAGGTATTCAAATAGCCTTTCAATACATTTGCTTTCTGCTTAAATCAGGCAAAACTGGTTTCTATAACAGGCAACCAATAATTCATAAAAACAGGAATATTCTTCATTTATTTTCTACTTGCCTGATTTTCTTATCACTATTTCAACATGATAGGGGTAGAGCCAAGTTAACTGAGCACTTATCCTAAAACATTATAGCTACCATCCTCACCTGAATTTATACAGTTTTTCAAATTTTCCTTTACAACTTCTTTCTAATCCATGCTTTCCTTACCATTTCCATGTCCTAGTCATTTCTTGGCTGGATTTACTGTTATGGGCTGAATGATGTCCCCTTTTCTCAGATTCATATGTCAAAGCCCTAAACCTCAGTGTGACTGTATTTGGAGATAGGGCCTTTAAGGAGATAATAAAGGTTAAGTGGGGTCACAAGGGTAGAACCCTAATCTGATGGGGTGGTACCTCTATAAGAAGAGGAGATACCAGAAATCTTTCTCCCCAACTACACACTGAAGAAATGTCATTTAAGAATACAGTGGTGGGGAGGACAGCAGATTACATAGTGGTTATATCACTGGATTCACATGTGGCCAACCATGGTTCAAGTCCCGGACCTGGTAGCTTGAAAGTCATGGTGGGTATGTGTGCGTGCATGTGCAAGATCCTGGGATGTGAATGGAGGAAAAGGCATTGCAGCATGGCCATCCCCCTTGGGGGTGATTTCTCACTTTCTCTCTCACTGTCTGTCTCTCTCACTCTGGTGAGTGCACATGCCCTAAGGCAAAAACTTCTCAAAACAACAACAACAACAAAATACAGTGGGAGGGCAGCTGTCTACTTGTAGGAAGAAAGCCCTCTCCAGGAATCAAATGTGCCAGCATCTTGATCTTGGACTTTTCTGTGAGAAAAACTAATTTCCGGCTTGAACAGTGGTATTTTGTTACGGAAGCCCTGACTTGCTAATATAGTACAATTACTGATGATCATAAGGGAACTGGAATAGAGCCTCTGACTTCTTAGCATAGACAGTAATGAGATCTTAAAATTCATGTAACTTGGAGTTACTTGAAATTTCCCTGCCACTTTAGAGATTTATGTGAATTTAACTTATTCCTTCCATTTCACAGCATATTAAAACCCATTGCCCTCTACTTAATTTATTCAAATTACTAAATATTTTTTCATGGTCCTGGGAATCCATCCCTGCAACCTGAAGTGCTGAATCAGTATAACTCTCTACCAGCTGGTATGCAGCTCAAGATATTCACCACTGTCAAGAAATTAACTCCTCATGTGACTGTACCAACTTTACTTAAGGCTCCAAGAGGGAGCCTTATGGGAGGGAATTATATCCTTTAATGCACAGCCTTCTGTCCCCTAACTGCCATTTCCTTTTCCATTGCACGAGTTTCCAAAGCCGGTAACTCACCATGGGATTATCCCCACAACCTTCTGAGAAATGAACTCTGGCTTCCCTTACCCCAGCTAGGTCTATCTCATTTCCTCAGCCCCTGAATTTTTCTGCCCAATAAACATTCTTTCATCTCTTCACACAGATGCATAACTATATTGACCCCTTGCTTGAAACACATTTGCCATCTCTTGATTGCCTACATAGACCAGACTCTAGTCTAGCCTTCCAAGGTCTCTGTAGTTTTCTCCCTCCACCCTCCAGTACACATCACCCATAAGTAAAGCCTCACAAAGATCATTCTGCCCTAATGAGCATGGCAGCTACTCTGTGGTAGACCTAGGTGCCCAGCCCAGTGGTGTCAACTGCTCTATTTTTGCCTGCTTCCTCTCTGCTCTTTGCAGGCAAGCCCTCCTCTCTCTTGGGCCATTCTCCACAGGCAGCTTTCAGCTTTCTTCAGCCCCTCTTGGGTGCCAGGCAGGAAGGGGTACCCAGTAACTGTGTGATGCACGAATGTATGAAGACATAAACACTCATTTTGAAATCTGCTAAAGGAACTCACTGCTTAGAAAATGAAGTCCGAAATCTAATGCCTTATGTGAAGGGCCCTGCCGAACCTGTGTCCAGCCTATACTTGCTGATCTCTCTCTGGTTCACACCCCTCGACTTCCCAGATACCCTCAGCCTTGTCAGAGATATGAAAAGCAGACACTGTTTGTTGGAAGCAATGGGAAGGGACAGAAAGATAGGAGTAGGTTGGGACCAGTAGATGGCATAATGGTTATGCCACTAGACTCCCACAGAGTTGATTGCAGTTCTAGTCCCAGGTCCAGTTGCCTGCAACATGCCAGGCACATGTGCATGCATGCCCAAAATCCCAAAAGGAGGAAAGAGGAAAAGGAATTGTGGCATATGGGAATGATTCCTCACTTTCTGTCTCTCCAGCAAGCACATGCACCCTATATCAAAAATCTCCCTGAAAAAGAAAAAAGACGGGAGTAAGCTAGGCTTCTTACTTTACCTGTGGGAAGGCTGGAAGTTTCAAGTGCTTTTTCTTTTTTCATCTCTCTCCACCTGGAAGGAAGCAGACCACCCATTAACTAACTCACAGACCTCATCCCCAAAAAGGGAAATAAATTGATGCAGTGGCCAGAAAAGAAACATTATCCATTGGGTTGTCACTTAAGCAGAGGGTTTGTTTCCCTACTTTAAGGGGTAAATTGTAAATCAAGAAACAATGGACTCTAAAGAACCATAGTCTCCTTTAATACTCCTATTCCAAGATATCCCTTCCCTCTTTTACCTTGAAACTTACAATCCTGTAGCATATCCCCTGCAAGGATTGTCAAATGACATTTTATTGGACAGATAAAAAAAGCACCTAAAAGCGGGAAAGCCAGTGTTAACACCTAACCTTCTTGATTGGTAGCTTCTCTGCTCGGTACTCTGCTTGTTTCATGGAGGCACTTCCTTGAACAGTTTTCACCCACATCCTCTCCTAACTACTCTACAATGAATCCATGGTAAGAGGCTTCACTAAGCTTTAGGGAAAGTTCTTATCCTGAAAATACTGTCTTGTGTTCTGGAGGTGGCAAGGCATGGGAAGAAATGAGAGGTTGAGCTTACGAGCCCTGCCTTGCCATCTCTTGATTGCCAATACTCGACTCTAGTCTGGCACTTCAGATCTCTGCAGGTTTCTTCTTCCACCCTCCAACATACATCACTCCCTGCTGAAGCCCTGAGAAGCTCCTCCACTCTCAGGAGCATGGCAGCTCTGCTGAGCTGGACCTAGGCGTCTGGCCCAATAGCATCAACTGCTCTGCTTTTGGATTATTACAGGAACAGGGTAACTAATTCCTCAACTTTCTGTGAGTCTATTCATTACTTTTTTGTTTCAGGAAAAATTCATTTAAAACCACACATTCATATATTTACCAATGAAAATAAAACACGGCAATAATGAAAACTGCAGAAACACCATCCGTAAGAAGCCATATTAACATATAGTCTCTTGGCGTCTGCAAAACATAAAACAAACCATGGTTAAAAACTTCATGGTCAGAAGGGATTTTACATCCTTGGGCCAAGTCCCTCGCTCTGCTGCCAGGGCCAGAGGAGGAGAGAAAGGTGGGACAGACCAGAAGGAGGAGCCTTGATCAATGTGGGAAGCTCAGAAAGGACACCTGCAACTATCCTACAGTTACCTGTACAGATGAGGGGACTCTATAAGGGACAAAACACTTCAAACATCATCTTCCTTGACCCTCCAAAGATGTCAGAGGAAGTCCCTGAGAAATCACAATTTAATCTATTCTGAGCCCAGGACAACAGCCCAGGTTTCTTGACGTCTAGTGCTCTGTTTTCAGGCATGGCTCCCCAGCTCCCCAAGCCCAGCTACACAGCCAAATCTACTTGGCAGCTTCAGTTTCCTGGTCTCATTACAGACCTGGGTACTCAGAATCTGTATCTCTAGCATGTTCCACGGGTGATGTTGAAGCAACTAGGCTGTGAATAGCATTTGGGAATCACTGTTCTTAATTATTATGCTTCAAATGTCAAAATATCACTCCCCTTACCTCTATGCCTCTTCTTCCTCCAGCCTCCTGGCCTAAATTACCTCTTCCTTATCTTTTCTTTCTTTCTCTCTTTCTTTCTTTCTTTTTTCTTTTCTTTTCTTTTCTTTTTTTTTGAGAGGTTTTTGAGAGGGTACGTGCGCTCACCAGAAAGACAGAGCGAGACAGAGAGACAGAAAGCGAGATATCACCCCCCCACCCAGGGGGAATGGCACCTCAATCCCCTCTCCTCCATTCTCCTCTCGGGATCTTGGGTGCACATGCACACATGCAAGGTGTGAGTTTAAGCCACCGGGTCCAGGACTCGAACCATAGTTGACTACATGGGAGTCCAGTGGCATAGCCATCATGCCAACTGCTGGTCCCAGACTTCATCTATGTCAAGGACCTGCAATCCAAGATTGCCTTCAGAGTCACCTTCAGAAAACTGCCCAACCCACCAGCAAAAGGAAAGGTCAGTTTCACATTTCCACCAGAGGGCCTTAATACAGTACTGACCCTATGAGACTATACCCTTGACTCATCCTGTCTTCCCTGGTCTTGACAACTTGAACAGGCCAGAAATAGGGCAGTGAGGGTACTGGTATAGAGAAGGCAACCTGAAACCCCTCTCCACGTGGGCTTCTCTGCCTAAAGTTTTAACGTCCAAGGCAAAATGGAGTTTGAGTTATTTCTCTGGACAAGACACATTAGTTCTGAGATAAGGCTTTTTGATGACTAGAAGTGAACTTTTAAAATTTACCTAAGAGGGACTTGAAATGTTTTGGGGACTGAGTGAGATTTCATTCTGAAGCACGGAAATGCCTCCCAGACCAAGTTTAAAGAATCAGTGGAGTGGTGGGACCAGCAGATGGCTTAATGGTTATGTTGCTGGACTCCCACGTAGTCAACCATGGTTCAGGCCCTGGATCTGGCAGCTTAAAACATCGGGTGCATGTGCGTGCATGTCCAAATCCCAAGAGAATGAAGAATCCCTTCTGGGGATTGCAGCATGGCCATCCCTCCACCTCCGAGGTGTGTGTGTGTGGGGGGGTGATTTCTCACTTTCTGTCTCTCTGTTTCTCTCTCTGGTGAGCACACGTATCCTATAACAAAAATCCCTCAAAAGAAAGAAGAATCAATGGAATGAAATCACTTTTCTGTTGTATGTTTTTGCATCCCACTAGATTAATCGATTCTCTATACAGAGAAGACAATGTGGCATGTAGCAGTGACTGGTTAGCTAAGGCTCCCTCCACAGATAAAAAGTGAAGGGGTGTGGCTGGTATTTCAACCAGGCCCTTGGGTCTCCAGGCCCCTGGTGGTGAGTACAGAAGAGCCAGAACAAGAAACCAAGCTGGGCAACTGAACACTGGCTCCCTTCCATAAAAGCATTTTGTTCAGAACACGTCGGTTTTACTTCAGAGTCAAGGACACCTGGTCTCCCCCATAGCCATGCCACTGTTTACTGCTGCCACGCCTCTAGGAAGGTGGGCTGCAATAACAGAACTCTGGAGTCAGACTTCCTTTCTGTAGCCTGCATCATGAACCACGTGCAAAGATATACTTGAGTTTCCGTTTTCTCAAGGGGATAATAAAAGTGGCTAATTCAGAGGTTTAAATTACATAATGTGTATAAAGCATGTTGTAAGGATTCGATAAACGTCAATTATTATAACGATACTAATTTCTCCTGGAAAAATGACAGAAGGATCTGGGTGAGAGGATGGAGAATGCCATATCTCCAGTATTCACAGAAAGGTCTCAGATCTTAAATCACTCCCCGGGGCCAGCACAGTGGGCAACACGGGGTTTGGGTCTCCAGGCCCCTGGTAGTGAGTACAGAAGGACAGAGATTGCTTTTGCACCAGGCTGGGAAGAACAATCCTGATAACTAGCTCACCATGAAGTAGTGAGGGTGATTAAGCCGACGCAGGAGCGAAATGTTGTCTGTGGTCACTGAGTTAATCCTGGAGCACCAGGCCAGTGAGAAAAGCCAAGGTTCATTGACGATGTATAAGTTGATGGTGATGTTAGCTGCTTTATAATGTCTGAAACAAAAAGCGGAAGCCATGGGGATTTAGGCCCAGCTTGTTCGCATCATCTAAAAAAGAAACAACCATCACATTTGTGAAAGGCCACTACCTAAATCACCAGAAGCAGCTGGGCCTGGACCAGTAACAACAGAACAGGGCAGAACAGGCTCAGGTTGCAATGAGATTAAAAGACCGAATTAGGACCTCTGCTCCTGCAGCAACAGTGGTATGCTTGAAAACTAGATGTCCTATGAAGAGTAAAACAAAGAAATTAAAAAGAAAAGGGGAGGGAGGGAGAGAGGAAAAAGAGAGATTGGGGAAAAAAGAAAGAGCCATGATGTGAGTACTCCTTCCAGAGCTGATTTCAAGCTACCACTGGTGAAATCAATTTGCAAAGCTCTGGAATGTTCGGTAACTGGTTTGAGCTGCTTGGGCACACTACTTAGGAGCAACTATACTTATTTCCATCAGAGTCCTTCAGCATCCTCTACTCTACTAATCAGCTCACCTAGCAGACTTCTTTACTTCAGTGTAAGCAAACTAAAAGCACATACTGTCTTATTCATCTCTACATATTAAGTACTAGCATAATACCTGGCTCCATAAATATTAATTGAAGGAATAAATAGCAATATGGTGAGCAGGTTAAATTTCAAATATAAAGAATTTTTACAAGCATTGAGTTGGGGAAATAAAATCCAGTTTTTCCTAAGGTACTCAGTGCCAATAGGTACTTGTGCTCTGTCTATAGAAACGGGGGAAAAATAACAAAAACACCTAGTAATTCTAGTCAAGTTGCCCTTTCGAGGATTCAATTTCTCAAACAGCACAAAACGCAAATGCCTTTAAAAAACCCTAAGATGGGGGACCAGTAGTTAGCGTAATGGCTATGTCACTGGACTCCCACGTAGTCGACCGCGGTTCACATCCCGGACCCGGTGGCTTAAAACTCACGCCAGGCGCGTGTGCATGCGTGCCCAAGATCCCGAGAGGAGAATGGAGGAGAAGAGATTGCGGCATGGCCACCCCCCGGGGGGTGATTTCTCACTTTCTGTCTCTCTGTCTCTTTCTGTCTCTGTCTCTCTCTGTCTGGCGAGCACACGTGCCATATAGCAAAAAACTTCTCAAAACAAAACGAAACAAAACCCCTAAGATGGAATGGCATGTTAGAAGTTGCTCTGTACAGGGATCAGCAGATGGCATAATATTTATATAATAGTCACTGGACTCCCACATGGCCAACTGCAGTTTAAGTCCCAGAGCAGGAGGCTTGAAACTGATGCTGGGCACGTGTGTGTATACACAAAAGGAAAATGGAGGAGAAGGGATTGTGGCATGACCATCCTCCCAGGGCCTGATTTCTTTTGGTCTCTCTGTTTCTCTGGTGAGCACATGCACCCTATAGCAAAAATCTCCTAAAAAAAAAAAAAAAAAAAAAAGCTGTTCTGTACAAGCCTGGACTTGAATCTCAGCTTGGCCAATATTAGCTAATTTTACTATTAACAGTAAAATAACATCTCCTTTGCAGAGACCAGCTGAGCCCCACAGTTGGAGATATTAACACTCCCTTCTTGGTGATTGGGGTACAAGAAATCATTCCTTTTTTTTCCTTTGATTTGGGAGGTTGTTCCCAGAAGAAGGCAAAGAGGTTTGGCTTGATCTCCTCATCAACATGATAACTAGATCCTTTAAAAATAAAACAATGACACTTGCTTAGAAGAGAGGCCTTATATATAATGTTCTTAAAGAGATGTTCTTGGTTAAACATTTATTACATGTTTTATAAATTAATTGTGAGGCATGGATCCCTGGAGAATGACATAAAAATTAGCTCTCTAGAAGTACTAAGTGGAGATGTTTCATAAATCAAATGCTCCCATCTTGTGTGAGACAGCGTTGCAAAAGTCAAGATCAATGTCTCCAACCTCACCTTTGTCTAAGCCTCTTGACTGCCTGTAATATCCTTAAAATTAGTCATCATGTTTGATAAAAGTTAAGTTCTCTGATGAGTGAGAGTCTGACCTGAAACCTAATCCTTTGTGCTGGCTCAATAGGAAAAAGAGGGAAAAATGAATACGAAAAATGTTAAAAGACTATCAACCAACTTGAACTGAAAACTTACAGAATACTAAACCCCACAACTGAAGAGGACACATCGTTTTCAGGGGACATTGGGAGTTGGCTAAGATAAACAAAATACATGGCCATAAAATACGCTTTAATACATTTAAAAACATTAAAATCATACACAGTTTTTCTCTGGTCACATTGAATTTAAGTCAGAAATCAATAACTAAAGCACTTGGGAAATATTGAAACATTTAATGTGATGCCTGTTAAATCTAATGCCAGTTGAAACTATGCCCAGGACCTATGGGCAAAGAATAACTTTAAAGGCACAGTGGTAAAAGAATTTGGACTCTAGAGTCTGTCTGACATATTCTTAAATTATTCCAGCTCTGTCCCTGACTAACTGTATTAATTAACCTTGGTGAATGACCTACACTCTGTGAATGGGAACTAATGACAATTCCACTGTACAACATGGAAGGATGATGACAACAAAAGCAGCAGCTAACATTTCATTGACCTCTTACATTTGTCCTGCATTTTACTGTGTACATAATACAAGGGGATCTTTTTTAAAGTTCATGAAAAATGTATATTATGAAAAAGTTACACATGGGATTTTTTTTTTTTTTGGCTTCAAAATAAACTGATACTTTAATTCCACTTTTTCATAAACTTTTTGAAAGTACCCTTGTATGAATGAGCTCATCTTTTAACTATTTCAGCAGGTTCTATGGTTATCCTCATTTACAAAGGATAAAACAGATTATTAGAAATTTGATAAAGTCACATATGGAGCTGATGGTTGGCCAGAATGTGAGACAGAGCCTGTGGTCTGCCAAGAATAGAAAGATATTGTAATGTATTTTACAACTATTATATCAATCTAAATTTGGGTTAAGAGAGAAGGAAATCATCATTTTTCCATTTTAAAAAAGTGAAAGGAGGGACCAGCAGATGGTGGAATGGTTACGTCACTGGACTCCCACATAGCTGACCACAGTTCAAGTCCTGGACCTGGTGGCTTAAAACTCACACTGAGTGCATGTGCATGTGTGCCCAAAATTCTGAAAGGAGAATGGAGAAGGGACTGCAGTGTGGCCATACTCCCTGAGGGGTGATTTCTCACTTTCTGTCTGTCTCTTTGGTGAGTGCACACACCCTATAGCAAAAAAACTCTCTAAAAAACATGAAAGAAAATAATTTTCTATTTGAAAAAAAAAAGTAGAAGGACATAGAGATATGCACAAAATAGAGGAGCAGTTGAGTAAAAAGAAATTTCTGATTAGGAAGAAAGGAGGCTGAGACAGAGGATCACAATAGAGCAAGATTTTATCTTCAAAAAAAAGGAGAAAGAGGGAAAGGCGGTGTGGATTAAATTAAGCAGTAATTAATAACAGTTAAGTGTAAAAAAGTTCATTTCATTCCCAGGCACTTCTAATTTTGAAAACTGTCTCTAATTTTATATTTATAACTGTGGTGGCTAATCATTTAAGTTTCTTCTCATATTTGGCTATTTTAAGACTTTAAAAATATGCTTTAGTTATGGTCTTATTTAATTATGCCTATAAGAAACATGTTTATCTGGGTCACAAAGCTATTTAAGAGGTATTGAAATTCAGCTGATAATAGCAGGAGGAAATAAACAACTTTTTGAGTTCTTACTTTTCAATGTCTGCCTTACATAAAAAGAGAAATGCAAAGTACATAAAAAGTGTGTTGAATGATGAGAGCCTAAGGCACAAAAGAAAAGGACTGAAGTCTATGTTCCAGAAACACAGTCTATGCTGATACATGGTGGTTGGCAGATGGAGAGAGGTATAGAAGGAGAAAGTAGGGGGTTCCAGGAAGATAACCACACAAAGAAATCCTTATATGGAAAGAGGAAGTTAAGTAGCTTAGCTGGAATGCATATGTTATGCAAAGTAACACATCAAGAAAGGTGTGATCAAACACTTACCTCAACCCACTGAAGAACAACCTCTTGTAGTCAACATTTATTATACTGATATTTTCTTTTGTAAGGCGCTCAACAGAGTATAAACGGCCCACCTGCTGAAAACCAGGAGCCTTATGCCTGACATAGGCTCTATCATGACCTGACAACCAAAAAATCTGTAAGGAGAAACAGGAATTCCTTCAGTGGATAATCAGCATCTAGGTACTACAGTCCCATGGAGACTAGATAGAGATCCACTCCAGAACCAGTGGTTTACAGAGAGCAGAGAGAGATTCTATCTAGCCTTTGGTGAGAGAGTCAACTTGGCTTAATATAGTTTAATGAGCTCTTTTTTTTGGGGGGGGGTGCTATAGGGCGCATGCACTCACTGGAAAGACAGAGAAAGACAGAAAGAAAGCGAGAAATCACCCCCCAGGGTGGATGGCCACACCGCAATCCCCTCTCCTCCATTCTCTTCCTGGGCATGCATGCACATGTGCCTGGCCTGAGTTTAAGCCACCAGGTCTGGGACTTGAATCACGGTCGACTACGTGGTCAACTACATGGGAGACCAGCGACATAGCCATTACGCCAACTGCTGGTCCCTAATGAAGTCTTCTCTTTTTTTTTTTTTTTAAAGAAAAAAAGTTTTCCCATAGGACACGTGCACTCACTGAAGAGAGAAAGCAAGAGGGAACAAAATAAATCACCCCCTAGGGGGACGGCCACACTGCAATCCTCTAATGAACTCTTATAAATGGGGCTTTCACCATGGCAGTTCTGAGGCTGAGTTTTCTCAGGACTTCCCCATTCACCAGTTAGCATCAAGGGTTAAGGGCCCACTATGTACAGAAAGTATCACACTAGCAAAATGAGTGAGAACTGGTGAATGTGGATGAATGATGGGAATCAAAAACATTTCCTGATGATGGTAAAAACCATCGCTGGAGGGAACCAGCAGTTAGCGTAATGGCTATGTCGCTGGACTCCCACGTAATCGACCGCGATTCGCGTCCCGGACCCGGTGGCTTAAAACTCACGCCGGGCACATGTGCGTACGTGCCCAAGATCCCGAGAGGAGAATGGAGGAGAAGGGATTGCAGCGTGACCATCCCCCCTGGGGGGTGATTTCTCGCTTTCTGTCTCTCTCTCTCTGTCTGGCGAGCGCACGCGCCCTATAGCGAAAATCTCTCCAAAAAAAAAAAAAAACACCGTCACTGGAGAAGTTATTTCTTGCTAACAGGGATGTTATTATGATTCCTTTGTGGAAATAATTCCATTTGCAAAATAATATGTATTTGTTTCACTTATAGCACTCTCATATTCTGAAATTTTAAGTGACTTGGAATGACTGACTGCCCAAATGCACAACTGCTACTGAAAACCTGATGAGCAACTCTATGCTCAAATAAGAGCCAGCTGCCCTTTCTATATTACTTGTTAAAACCAAGTTCTCAAAGCCTTAGTGTTTCCCAGACTCTTTCTAATAAATCTAAATTGGAGATGGTGCAGATCATGTTAGTTACTATACACATCCCTCTTTAACTGAGTGATGATATTTCATTTGGTTTGGAACAGCAAACAGCCTCAATGTTTTTCTACAGAGAAGTAAATTAAACTGGGTCATTCTTAGATCACCATTTGTAGCTGTATAAGTAACAATATCCATTTCCATAGGAAGCAAAATTACTTAAGGATCCCAGGGATGATCTGTCAATAGATCAAGTCAAGTTCAAGACTTGTGCTCTTGGGACATGCTACCCAACTCCCAACCTCTACAACAAACACTGAAATAGACCTACCAGATGTTGCTCAATTTTAGAGTCAAGGATCACTTTTACTGTTTGGCGGACAAATGCATTTCTGAAAGGATGTTTTGGTGGACAGCCATTAAGATCAAATATCACAAATTTTTTTTTCTTCTGTGCAAATTGCAATAATTCATATAGTTTTGGAATTGACTGATTTCTTGCCTTTTTTTTATCAGCCTCTGATAGAGTTTTCATATCATAAAATGGTTTGCGCTAAAAATAAATACATCAAAGAATACATTGGTTCTCATTAAAAGCATTTTCCAATTTTCCTGCTATGTAGTCCCACACCCGTCTTCATTGATGCTCCACTACCACTCAATCTACTAGGCCCTCTGAAATACAGTTCCTGAGATAAGAGTTGCCAAGGAAGGAAATTAAGTGTAATCTCCATTGGGAATTGTGGTGTTTGAATGCTGCCTTCTACATCCTAGAACCTGCTGTATTCACCCAGAAGGCTCTTTATGTTTTTATTGTAACCTTCCTTTGCAGTCTTTTCTTCCATTTCTCAAGGTAATAATCCCCTTTCAATTGTGTTGGCACCCCTCATATGCTCTCACTGTTTTAGTTTGGTGAAACAGAAGGAACATTTTCTGTAGCTCTAGACTGAACCACATTCAATCTCAGCTCTACCCCCTCTACTTGCTGCCTTCCTTACAAAATCCACCTACTAAAACACTATCCTCAACATGCAAAGCCTAGTTCAAATGCTTCTTCCTTCAGGAGGCTTTCTTTAAATATTCCTGATAAAGAGACTTTGGTGGCTTTAAACCTCAAAGGCTATTTTTGGCCTTTGTAATTATACTTCTTATTCTTCCTTCTACAGTTATTTGTACATGTCTTAGACAAATCTTGGCTCGATATGCTAGTTTCTTGCTGTGCAACTTTGGTTAAAACCATTTAAATTCACAGTCTTCTCTGTCCAAACTACAAAATGGAAGAAGGGAGGGGTAATCTATGTATTTCTTAAGATTATTTTGGGACGAGCAGATGGCTTAATGGTTATGTCACTGGACTCCTACATGGCCAACCACTATTCGAGTCTCAGACCCAGAGGCTTAAAATTCACATGAGTGCGTGCATTCACAAAAGCCCCAGAGGAGAGTGGAGAAGAAAGGATTACAGTATGTCCTGGGGGAGGTGATTTCTCACTTTCTCTCTGTCTCTGTCTCTCTAACAAGTGTACATGCCCTAGAGGAAAAATCTCTCTCTCTAAAAAATGATATTTTTAAAGATTAAATACAGTGAACTATTTACAGGAAGCATAACCGGTCCACAGAAAAAGTATATAATTCACATACATTACCTTATTCTCTACTGATTCTACTGAGATATAACTTGTTCATGGCAGAAACTGTCTATAATCTTCACAAGGTGCACAGTATTCATCTTATAGATGGCAGTACATATATTTGCATATGAAATTTATTAAGTGACTGTTTTTATAGTCATTTGCTAATTTTAGATAATTTTTGGGTGAAAGGTTATCTCACAGAAGGAGCAGTAGCTAGCAGTAGCTATCTCACATTTTCTTAAAACTCACTTTTTTCCGTAAACATTATATTAATTCTCATTCACATCTTTTCTACATTTGTTTGTTTGTTTGTTTATTTATTTATTTATTTATTTATTTATTTTTGCCATAGGGCACATGTGCCTGAGAGAGACAGAGAGAGGGAAAGTGAGAAATCACCCACCAGGGAGGATGGCCACACTGCAATCCCCTCTCCTGTGTTCTCCTCCTAGGATATTGGGTATGCATGCACACACACGTGCCTGGCATGATTTTCAAGTTGCCTTGTCCAGGACTCGAAACATGATCAGCAATGTCGGACCAGAGCCTTAACTACCATGCTACCTTCTGGCCTCTCCTCCTTCTCTCTTTAACAAACTGCTCTTGCTCACATTTTTCTCATGAAAGAAACAATCACATTACACATATCCTCATAAAATTGCTAGACGACTTCTAGCAGATCATAGAGCCTGAATTAAATGAGGGACTAGATATGACTTCAAGACTGCAATTAAGGGTTTTCTTAATTCTCAAGAAAATATAAATTTGGGGGCCAGCAGGTGGCGTGGTGGTTAAAGGTGCTGGACTCGTGCAAGGTTGACCGCAGTTCAAGTCCTGGACCTGGCAGCTTGCTTTCTCTCTCTTTCCTTCCCTCCCTCCCTCTCTGGTCAAATTAAAATGAGCAAAGTTAAATAATTATTAAAAAAAGAAAATATTAACTTGTCCAGGATCCAAGATTTTGTTAGATACTACCAGACCCAGACCAACTGGTTAACTTAATTGTTATACTTTCATGTGAGGAAAATAATTTTTATATATTTTTATTATTCATACATTAAAATTGCTATATATCATTTAGATTATGAAGAGACTTTACTCAGTCCAGTCCAGTTGAGACCACCATACACATCCACGTCAATGGATAATAGATCTTATCTGTGTCCCACACGTGTCTTACCTCTCCATTTTCCCCCCAAATTTCCTACGTTCTTCCCCTCTGACACTCTAGTTTCCATTACAATTTTTAATACTTTTATGTTTTCCAGTCTTTTAGTCTCTACCATAGAGTGCAGACAGTTGGTATATGTTAAGTGGAGATATGCAATGTCTCTCTTTCAAAGCCTGACTTGCTTCACTCAGCAACTACTCTTCCATATTCGTCCACTTTCTGTCAAATTCCATGGCCTTGTTTTTTTTTATGGCTGAATAGTATTCCATGGAGCATATGTGCCACAATTTCTCAATCCATTCATCTGTTTGTGGACAGTTGGGTTGGTTCCATGTCTTAGCAATTGTGAATAAGGCTGCAATGAATATAGATATGCAAGTGCTTTTCTGACTGAGTGCTCTCCTGTCCTTTGGGTAGATAACCAGGAGTGGAATTGCTGGATCATATGGTAGTTCTATTTGAAGGTCTTTGAGGAACCTCCATATTGTTCTCCACAGTGGCTGGACCAATTTACATTCCCACCAACAGTGTAGGAGTGTTCCCCTTTTCGCCACATCCTCTCCAGCACTTATCATTATTATTTTTTTAATCTTCACCATTCTGACTGGGGTTAGGGGTATCTCATTGTGATTTTGATCTGCATCTCCCTTACAATGAGGGGTGTTTAGCATTTTTTCATATGCTTTTTGGCTGTTCATATGTCTTCCTTAGAGAGTTATTTATTCAGTTCACTTTCCCATCTTTTAATTGGATTAATCATTTTCTTCCAGGTAAGCTGCTTGAGTTCCCTGTGTATTCTGGTTATCACTCCCTTATCTGAGGCACAGTTAACAAAAATTCACTTCCATTCCGAGGGTTGTTGATGTACACCAATTACAGTATCCTTTGCTGTACAGAAACTCCTTAATCTGATGTAATCCCACCTGTCTATTTGGGGGATTATTGCCTGTGCTTTGGGGGTCTTACTTAAGAAGTCTTTGCCTACACCCCAATGTCTCCTAGAATTTCCCTAGGGCTTGCCACCAGTAGTTTTATAGTTTGCGGCCTTAGGTTTAGATCTTTGATCCACTTTGAGTTGATTTTTGTTAATGGTGATAGATAAGGGTTCAGATTCATCTTTCTGCACGTGGATACCCAGTTTTTCCAACACCATTTGCTAAAGAAGTTTCCCTTTTCCCAGTGAATTGACTGGTACCCTTTGTCAAAGATAAGTTGACTGTATGTTTTAGGGTTTATTTCTGGAGTCTCTACTCTGTTCCATTGTTCCTCATGTCTATTTTTGTGTCAATACCATGCTGTTTTGATTATCACAGCTTTGTAATATATTTTGGGGCCAGGGAGTGAGATGCCACCTACTCTAGTCTTCTTGCACAGGATGGCTTTAGCAAAACAGGGTCTTTTATGGTTCCAGACAAATTCTATGATTGTCTTTTCTAGATCTGTGAAGAATGTCTCGTAATTTTATTGGGATTGCATTGAACATGTAGATTAATCTGGGTAGGATTGTCATTTTTACTATATTGATTCTGCCAGTCCAGGAACATGGGATGTCCTTCCACTTGTTTGTATCGTTTCCAATTTTTTTTAAACTTCCCATAGTTTTCCCTGTGGAGGTCTTTAACTTATTTGGTTATATTTATTCCGAGGTATCTTATACTTCTTGTGGCTATGGTTAATGGAATTACTTTCTTCAGTCCGATCTCAGTCTCCCTGCTGTTTGTATATAGAATTGCTATAGATTTCTGTATGTTGATTTTGTATCTGGCCACTTTACTGTATTCCTGTAACCCCCATTCTACTCAAGTTATTTCTAAAGATCCAAAAGGGTGGAACTCTCCTAAATTCATTCTGTTAAGCCTCCATCACCCTCATCTTTAAAACATACAAGGAAGGAAAACTATAGACCAATATCTGTGATGAATAAAGACACAAAAATTCTCCACGAGATACTAGCAAATTGTATCCAACAACATATAAAAAGATTATACATAACAACCAGGTATGCTTTATTCCAGGGATGCAAGGATGGTTCAACATATGCAAAACCACAAATGTAATACACCTTATTAACAAAAAGAAAAATAAAAACCACACAATCATATCAATTGATGCAGAAAAGACATTTGATAAGATACAACATCACTTCACAATCAAGACACTCAGCAAAATTGTCATAGAAGGGTCATTCCTCAACACAATAAAAGCAATCTATGAAAAACCCATAGCTAACATCATCCTGAATGGGGAAAAGCTAAAAACTATCACAAGACAAGGATGCCCACTTTCTTCACTCCTTTTTAATATAGTACTGGAAGTCCTTGCAAATACAGTCAGAAAAGAGAATAAAATAAAAGGCATTCAGATAGGAAAAGAAGTGAAATTATCTCTATTTGCAGATGACCTGATTGTATACATAGAAGACCCAATGATATCCACAAAACAATTTCACTAGCCACATGGTAATTTTTTTTTCTCCCAAGAGAATGGAAAATCATTTTTCCCTCTCTGTGTCTCTCTCCAGTGAGTGTATGTGCTCTTGGACAAAAACCCAAGGGGGAAAAAAAAAAAACACTCTACAATCAAACCTAAAAATAAAACTTCCAGATAATGATATTTGAACCCCAGTTTTCCTGATACTCCTCAGTAGCTATAGTTGTAGTATAATTAAGCTAGGTATACTTACCTAAATCCATTAAAATAAAGCTATTAACCCTAAAAAAATCAAAATGTATTACACTAATATGTCCATCT